TAATGTGAAACTTGAGTTATTGGTTAACAAGGTTTCTCCAAGCCAAAGATTGTTTGTGAGTGAAGACGCATCACTCTGTGACATCTCTCTGTGACCTCCAGTTACCTGTGTTTCTGTAGTTCAGCGGATCATCAGATCAATATCTGGAGCTCGTTAAGATCAGAGATCTGGATCAAGTGGTTTGTGAAGAATCAGGTGTAAAAGTCACAACAATCAATATCAATTAATAATCTATATCTTCTGCTCATGTTCAGGTTGTCAATATTAACTGGATTTGTTAATGTTGATGTGGATTCACCAGCTGATCACAGATCTGAAGTCAACCTTTATTTAAAACTTTAGTTTGTGACAAATGATGAAAGTCAAATTGAATCAGATTCATTAAAGGATAAGATCAGATGTTGCTGCCATGACGACAGTGTGCAGCTGTTTATTAAACTGAAGGTGGATCTTTGTACCTGTCAGGTGTTTTTAAAGATTCAGGAGGAACCAATGAGCTTAGAGCTGAGATTCACAGACAGGAAGTGATGACATGTACATGTACCTGAGCAGTAATTCCACACAGCAAAGAAAACATCCAGAAGTCTGAAGAATGTGTGTGTGTGTGTGTGTGTGTGGTGTGTGTGTGTGTGGTGTGTGTGTGTGTGTGTGGTGTGTGTGTGTGTGGTGTGTGTGTGTGTGTGTGTGGTGTGTGTGTGGTGTGTGTGTGTGTGTGTGTGTGTGTGTGTCTGTTCCTCTCAGTCCACGTTCCTGTTTGAAATTCAAAACAACATAAAAACAGCCTCACCTGAACTCGTCTTCTCTCAGCTCACCTGTGGGCCGCTCACTGTCTCTGCCCCCTCCTCTGATTGGTCCTCTTTTCTTGGCATCTCTCTCTTAATTGGCTCCCTCCAGACGCAGCGTGGCAGATGGACCGGCGAGTGAGCGACCTCTGGCCCCTGAGTGGCATCGCAGACACCCAGTCACCATGGAAGCACTCCGGTTGGCCCCTCCCTCATTCAGCCTTCCACCTCTCTCTGATTGGTCCATACCTCTGTGCGATTGATCAGTAGCAGTAACTGACCAATCAGAAAAAACAACATCCAGATATTTGTAATTGATTAATTCCTCATTAACACATAAAGTACCTGAGGAACGTAAAGGGTTAATGTAAAGAAATAAGATAATGAAATAAAAAAGTTCTAAAGTTTATTTAGAATAATGTCTGTAAATGTAAAAATATTCATATTAAATCAGGTCATATGTGGAAACAAATTTATTATTATTTTTATATGGTATGTACAATTTTAATATAAGACATAATTTATTTAGTTGTGACAATTGTGTTTAACGTATTTATAATTTTTCCTTACTGATATATAAAACATGCGAACAGGAAACACGTCAGTGTCACAGAAAACATTTTTTAATGAAGCTGCAGATTAAACAAAGATTTTATTGAAGTTCCTGAGTTAAACGTAAAAATCTGAGGCCTTAAATTTGACCCAACAATCCCCCAAAAGTCCTGGAGAAATCTGTCTGTTGCCGTGGAAACGAAGGTTCACCTGTTGTACAGAGGTATGAACCAATTACAGGAGGCGTCACATGATCAGATGAACATCTCTGTCTGTGAACATGACGCAGGTGTCCATGTGAAAGCCTCCTCTCCCTCCTCCTCCTCCACCCTCCTCCACCTTCTTCCCTCCGTGTGCTCAGATCAGACAGAGATGTCCAGGTGTTTTGCAGAGGAGGTCACTCTCCTCCTCCTGTGTTCAGCTGCTGTTTCCTCACTAACACTCACTCACCGGTCTGCAGCCGCTCACAGAGTTAATGTTGTGTCGCTTCATGCAGCTGAAACACCACAGACACATTATGTTTGAATCAAAATCTTACTGGACAACAACGCTTCATTAGCTAGAACTCACTGTGTATCTCACATTTACAGGTGAGACACTGAATTTTCAGTTTGGTGGATTCTGGAATCAAGTTCGTTAGAAAAACCCTCCTCGTGTTGCTTCACCTGAAATGATTCGACGTCAGGCAGGAAGAGATGAATGTAAAATATTACACTGTATGAAAAGTGAAGCAGAATCAAAATTCTTTTTAGATTTTACAGTTTGAATTTAAGATTTCCTTCACTGTCATTTGAATATTGATAATTCAGCATCTTATCAAGACTTTTGCACCTTTGTTCACACAAAGTGAAATAATGTAAAGCTCCTCCAGTGTAAAGGTCTGTGTCCATGTGTAGTGTGATTATAGATCAGCTCTAGCTTCTATATTAATACTGTGAAAGTATCAAAGCCTCAGTCCACAGAGAAATGCACACAGCCTGTATTCAGAAACTGAGCCTTAAAACCAGCCGTCAGGACTTCTGGAACTTTGTGATGTCACAACAAAGCAGTCACCAAGCCCCGCCCACCTGGACCCACCATCCAAACCTTGCAGGATTTGGTTTCTCTGAGTGTTTTTACCTGAAATCTGCTATATTTTTATTGGATCACTCAGAAAACAGTCAGCCAATCAGAAGAGAGGCTCAGAGCCTCCTCTCTTCTGATTGGCTCACCGACCTGTTGTTACTAGAGCTGCAGAGAGAAGCCTGAGAGAGGAGATGTAAAACTACACTGAGATGGTTTTTATATCTTCTGATGGATCAACACTTCAAATAAAACAAGAAGAAGAAAATATTGAAATGGACGCTGGACTCAGAGAGGACAGTGTGGTTTGACAAAGATCACAAAGGAAAAAAAAACGAATCAGATTCCAAAACAAACCTCTGAAAAGTCTTTGTCTCTGTGCAGACTGAAGCTGAAATCAAACATTTGCACTTTCCTCCTGACGTCATGCCGCTCTGTCAATCTGTTTTCCTTTGCACCTGTAACATCTCAGTTTTCACTGTTTTCCTCTGTTATGAGTCGAACTTCCTGTTTCTGGCTTTCAAAATAAAACTACTACAACTAATTCCAGTCTAACTCCTGCGTTCCCCTCTGTCCTGCAGCCCAGAGTCTGATGCCCCTGCGACAGAGGATGGGAGACCCCGCTATGACGTTCAGCTCACAGAGGTTGGTTGAAGGGCGGGACTTACCTCAACTGGAAGGGCATGGTTTGTTCACATCGTCCCGCCCTCCCAGTGGCCACGCCCGGCAGAGTCGCAGCCGCTCCATTGGCCAGCTGGAGTTCCTCCCCGTGCCCTCCCCCTCTCTCTCTTCCTCCCTGTCTCACCCCTCGATCGGCCCCACCTCCCCTCCTCAGCCTTCTGTCCTGTCGTTCTGTCCTCCTCCCACCAGCTCCTCCTCCTCTTCCTCCTACTTCGGCGGCTCCGCTCACATCTCTGCTCTGCTCTTTCGATCTTCTTATTTCCACTCTCTGGAGGCGGCGTCCAGCCTCCCGCCTGCAGGGGGAGCTGTGACGAGCCGGAGGCAGCGCTGTCGCTCCGGCAGCTTCGGGTATCTCCCTCCGCACGACTGTTTTCCAAAGATACTGATGAACTAACGACAGAAACAATTCATGAAATATTCGCTTTGAGCTTAACTTGTGTGCAAGAACTATTTAAGAACTCATGTTTAATTCATCACTGATTATTTTGAAAACTCTGGGGTTGTGTTGTAGTCTTGACAGACAGAAACTGAGACCTTTGGAAACGATGACGTCACACCCATGGTCTCTCCTGATTGGCTGTCATCAGCCTCGACAGATGTAGTTTTCTTATTTTTTACCCATTTTTTATCTTTTCATAAACACATTTCTGAGAAAACATAAGAAAACGTTCCTGCGTGTCATCATGTCGCCTCCGACCCTCTCACTCTTCTCACTAACTTTCTAACTTTGCTTCATTTGTTCGTCCTTCATGTTGAACCTTTTCCCCTCCCTCACTGGGATTTGTTGTCCAATCATATGAATGTTTTTATTGTTTGTAAACATTTTCATTTAGCGGTAAAAAAAGTATTTATATCTATGGATATGTTAATAGAGCTGGATATCTCAGTGACCAACCACAGTGCAGCAGCTGAAAACTCGTTGTAGTCAAACAAGCTCCTCATAAAGAGCAGAGGTGAAACTGGAGCTTTGATGTTCAGAAAAGACTAATTGTTGCTCTTTGTTTGTGACTTCGTTGCCTTGAGGCACGAGAGATGATCGGCCGAGTTAATCAGCTTACAGCTATTGATTGGATCGAGGGCGTTTGTCCGATTCTTGACGATCAGCCTCAGCTGTACCTTTTTGTTCAGTGCTAATTGGCAAAGATTAGCATGCTAACAAGCTAAGCTAAGAGGGTGAACATTATACCTGCTAAAAATGATTATTTTTTAAAATCAGTCATTTGGAGCTAGCTTACTGATGTTAGCATTGATGCTAGTTTACTGATGTTAGCATTGATGTTAGTTTATAGATGTTAGCATTGATGCTAGTTTAATGATGTTAGCATTGATGCTAATTTACTGATGTTAGCATTGATGCTAGTTTACTTTTGTTAGCATTGATGCTAGTTTACTGATGTTAGCAGTGATGCTAGTTTACTTTTGTTAGCATTGATGTTAGTTTAATGATGTTAGCATTGATGCTAGTTTAATGATGTTAGCATTGATGCTAGTTTACTGATGTTAGCATTGATGCTAGTTTATTTTTGTTAGCATTTATGCTAGTTTACTTTTGTTAGCATTTATGCTGATCCATAGAAATCCAGAGTCCAGTTCAGATAAATCCTGTTATTTTTCAGTTCTGAGATTACGTGTTAGCAGCTTTACGTTTCGCTGATGTCACTCTCTTCTCCTTTGTCAGGGACATTATGAACCGCTCAGACTCTGACTCCTCCCTGCCTCTCTCTCCCGGCGAATCCCGAGGCCTGTACAGCTCCAAGCCCTTCCCCGTGTCATCCAGGCTCCACCCCCTGCAGGGTCAGGCCTCGGGGATCGCAGGAGGAGGAGGAGGAGGCCTGGAGAAGTGCTCCAGCCTTGGGGAGCTGAGGGGCAACCCCGCGGCTGTCCTCGCCTCCTCCTGCTCCACCCGCTCCCTCTGTATCACGTCCGACGCCACTGACAGCCCGCTCGTCTTCTCGTCCTCCGCTTCGTCCGGCTCGCTGGGCGGCGGCCGGGGGCCCGGCCTCCAGCTCCCGGCCAGGAGGAGCCCCATGGAGGAGAACGGAAGTGAGGAGAGCGAGTCGTCCGGCAGCCGCAGGAGAAACGCCTTCAATAAGATCTTTAAGAAGAAGCAGGGACGTCACTGAACCTGAACATCTCACCTGCTGTAACTGACTCATGATGAGACTTTCATCTTCATCATGATGAAGAACCTGTCACTCAGAGGAAAGACCCGTTTTTAACGCTTCAACTACTTTCATCTTATTTTATCTGTTTGATCTTTTCTCTCCATGAACTGAACAGTGGACACAGAGATGAGTCCACGAAGAAGAACAGGAGGAAAGAAGAAGAAAGATTTTGACTTTTTTTAAAGGATTTTTTTCGTTTCACATTCACTCGCTGGATTCAGCTTCACTTCGTTTGTCTATTTTCTCTATTTTCATGCCAAAAGTCTGTTTCTTTAGTTTCCTTGACTCCGTGTCCATTAGAGAAATAACTGGGGCTGTATCCAGTCTGTCACAGGTTTGATTCCTGCAGCACCAGGTTCTGATCTGAGTTTATCAGTGAGTGTAAGGACAGTGACGGAGGTAATGAAGGTGAGGTTCTTCATAACTCTGGTGACTGCTCTTGTTAGCATACTAGCAATGCTAGCCCCTGCAGTTTGTTTACAGCCCTCCCCACACTGTTTCCTGTTTCCTCCTCACCACAACACAGTGGGTTTCACCTGCAGCTGAAGGTCACTTCAGTTGAATCTGGAGGCTTCTGAAGTTTCTCCACTGGGGCTCCTCTGGAGCTGTCTGATGACCTGAGCTAACGGTGCGTTCATGTACCACGAACAGAAACCAGTAACAAACTGGGACCAGTCTGACCTGAACAGACGAAGGTCAGCCTGAATGCATTGTTAAAGCAGGGGATTATGGGAAACTGAGGACCAAATGGTACAGCAGGACAGAATCAGGCTGCAGGTCTCTGAGGACGCTGCAGCGTCTCTGAACGAGTGTCGGCCACACGAGGCTCGTCTTGTTTCATTGTTTAATCAGAGTGTATTTTATTATCTGAGTGTCAGTAGATGAAGGGCTCTGTTTCTATGACGGTGCGTCACCACAGCTGACGTCACGTCGATCAAATATCCGCTCAGAGTCATGATGAGTCCATTAATCATTAAATCACTTTCACCAGAAAATTAATGAGCAAATATTTTGATAATCAATTTATTGTTTCAATCATTTTCCGGTACCTCTTATAAAGGATTCATGGATGTTTATAACTAGTTTATTCATCAGCTTGTTTGCACTTTATAAATCTGCATCTGCTGCTGCAAATCTTTGTGAACTGTTGGCTCTGCTGTGCTCAGGGAGTTTTCACAGACAAAACAATTAATTGATGAAGCAAGAAAATAATCAGAAGTTTAATCAATAATGAAAATAGTCGATAGTTGCAGCCCTCATTTAATTTAAACAAGTTCTTGTACAGTTACATCTGACAACATTTGAACATATTGGTCAGTCAGATATTACATATAAATTAGTATTAGTGTGAGTATTAGTGTGAGGATGGAGAAGATGCTCCACCTCCACATCCTGAAGACGAAGCTCCGCCCCCCCCGTCATGAAAACAGAGCCTGAGGTCGTTCTGTTATTTTCACTGTTTGATTTTCACCTGTGAGATTTTAAAGAGAAAGTGATCCATTGGCCGACGTGTGTGTTGTGTCTGAGGCAGGAAGTGAAGTTTAACTTTATTTACTCTGAACAAAGATGGCTGTCACAGTTTGTTTACTTAAAGAGAACAGCTGTCAGTGAGAGGACTTCATTACCCAGAAATCCTCTCACATGGTGCCAATAAACTAAACAGAGAGTCCACACACGTCGGACAGAAAAGAATGTTCTGTTGCTACTTGCAGGAACTTTATTCAATATTTGTCTTTATTTATAATGTAAAACCAGCAATAAACAAATAAACAAACCACTGATGATGTGTCTCTTCTTCTCTGTGTGAACATCTGTTCAGAATTTACTAACATCTGTATGAAGCAGCTGCTGTTCTCTGGTTCTCAGCAGGCTGATGAGCTTAAGTTTATATATTTTTATTTAAAAGAGCTACATGTAAGTTTTCTATTAACAGCTGTTTACTTACCAGTGTAGAAAAAACATCAGCATCAAACTTCATTCCTTTACTCACCAACATCTGTCTGCAGAGGTGGAAACAAACGCCAATGTCAACTCTATCACGTCTTTCCTCTTTCTGAAGTTAAATTAACATTTGATTGAATAAATTTACTTTCTTGGTCTTGGACTAATAATCCAAGGTGATGGACTCTCCGTCCTCATGCCATCCCCTCCCCACTGGAGTGCCCCAAGGATCAGTACTGGGACCCCTCCTCTGCAACATACACCACCTCCTAGGGTCTCACTTGGCTTCTCATATCACCGCTACGCAGACGACCCCCAACTATACCTGTGGTTCCCTCCAGACGACCCCACTGTGAATGAAGGAACGCCACCTTCAACTAAACCTCTCTAAGACTGAACTCTTAGTCATCCAGCCGTTCAGTTTCTTCATCATGATATCAATCTCAAACTCACCTCTTCATCTCTGACCCAAACCAAGGTCACGAGAAGATTGGTGTCATGTTTGATGACCAGCTCTCCTTCTCTGACCGTGTTGCATCATCTCAACATCAGAAACATCAGGTCTGACCTGACTCAGTCCTCCCAGCTCTTGGGCCAGACCCTCATTATCTCTCACTTGGATTACTGTTTCATGACCTCATGCGTGTTCTTGAATGATGTTATTCACCCTCTTTAATTATATTGGCAATACACAACTTTTCAACCACTGACGTTGAACTCTTGCTTTAATAAACCAGCTCTTAAAATATTTAACTTCATGGTCTTAGGTGAATTTCCACTTTCCAAAATGTTCTCGAATTAATGGTCTAAATTTAATAACCCATGCTCTTAAGTTGGTGCTCTCAATTAGTTTATTATCTCTTGAAATACTTCTGTAATTGCCTGCATGGTGAGATCAGATCACTAAATCAATGACAAAGATGTATTCGCAAACTAACTAGTCTTGAATGATGACTCAGAACAAACCTGAGAGCTGCTGCAGTCCTGAGTGTCAGAGCTGCAGGTAAAAGAGAAAACTGCTGCCTGTGTTGAACTGTTGGTGGTCTCATGAACACGAACCCTCACCATGACCCAGATCACCTGCTGCCATCAGAACAAACATTATTCATAAGAGGTGGGGCCGTGCACCACAGGTATGAATCCAAAATTCAAATGCAGGAAGTCAGATGGGTCAACTCAGTCTGATCAATGTCAATATTAAAAATAATCAAACCTCCTCTTCAGCCAGAACTCAGCCTGTCACTCTTGACTCTGACAATATTTACTATAGGCGGTGCATTCACTGACTTGTCAGCTACTCAGGAAATCAGCCAGAAAAAAGTTAAAGGCTGAACCAGCAGGTGGCAGCAGAGAGCAGCTGGGAAACAGCAGCCTGAAGAGAAGCAACATGAAGGGCTTCATTTTGGTTTGTCAAGGGTCAGATTCAGCTGGTTGACTCATTATATGACCGTTCTGACTAAAGATGTTTTAGTTCTTAGTATTTCATTGATTTACTGTGACACCTCATCAAGATGAACTCGTGACATTTGTTCTACAAAGACATTTTTTCCAACATCAAGTTACAACAAGTCCTCAGACACGTCCCTGGGGCGACTCGAGGGAGTGAGGGCGCCTACCACACAGACGAGACCTCGCTTTGACTCCTGGCGTCAGATGTCACCCCTCTTCCTTCTGTCCCCACGTGTCCCATCACTTTCAAGTGATGAACAAAAGATGAACGTGTTCTAGCGCATATTTAGTCAGTGAAATGTTCACACAACAGCACATATTTGACCACTTATTTTGTTGACATTTTAGGGGAAGCTGAGCTTCCCCTGCAGTCTTAGAGCAATCGCCACTGGTTTCTATATATGGGTGGAGACTCAGGACTGGCTGTGTACAATCACAATCCCTCTGTTTGAGACCTGTGAACTGCTAGAAACTAATTTCACTTGTTCTTTCAAATTATGTTTCCCATAATCAATATTAATATATGAATTTATTTGACCTGAAATATTGTAATTAAGGCAAATTGTTATAATTTAGAATCAGATGTAGTTATTTAAGTTGTATGCTGGAATCTGTTGACAGGAAAAGCAGAAACCTGGTGTGTGTGTTTGTTGTACAGAAATCATCCATTCATCCATCATCCATCCATCATCCATCATCCATCCATCATCATCCATCATCCATCCATCATCCATCATTCATCCATCATCATCCATCATCCATCATTCATCCATCATCCATCCATCATCCATCATCCATCATCCATCCATCATCCATCATTCATCCATCATCTGTCCATCATCCATCCATCATCCATCCATCATCCATCATCCATCATCCGTCCATCATCCATCATTCATCCATCATCCGTCCATCATCCATCATCCATCCATCATCCATCCATCATCCATCCATCCATCATCCATCCATCATCCATCATCCATCCATCATCCATCATCCATCCTTCATCCATCCATCATCCATCCATCCATCATCCATCCATCATCCATCCATCATCCATCCATCCATCATTCATCCATCATCCGTCCATCATCCATCATCCATCCATCATCCATCATTCATCCATCCATCATCCATCATCCATCCATCATCCATCCATCATCCATCATTCATCCATCATCCATCCATCATCCATCCATCATCCATCATTCATCCATCATCTGTCCATCATCCATCCATCATCCATCATCCATCCATCATCCATCATTCATCCATCATCTGTCCATCATCCATCCATCATCCGTCCATCATCCGTCCATCATCCATCATTCATCCATCATCCGTCCATCATCCATCATCCATCCATCATCCATCCTTCATCCATCCATCATCCATCCATCATCATCCATCATCTGTTCCTGGATGGACGTCTTGTGGATCTGTGTGTTTAATGTTTACACCAGTTGGAGGCGCTGTGGTGCAGTTTTGTTAAAGAGTGTGATCTCTCCAAAAAATAATTTTAAAAAAGTCAAGTCTCTCATCAAGACCAATCAATCCTTCACGTCTCAGGTTAGGAACAAAAGGAGTCAAGTCCATCTTTTAAACTCAGTTTCTAGTCTTAAGTTATCATGTGACCACATTGTTAATCTAAAATTAGACTTTATTCATGACTTTTATTTAACAACAGGACTTTTAATGTTTGAGGAGGACACTGAGTCTAAAGGTCTCAGTCCAGTAAAGCAGAGAACCAGTGATGCTAAAGTCAAATCATAAGTTGTTTTTGAATTTAGCAGCTAAAATCTAAAGTCGTCAGATTCATAACTTCAGATGTTTGTGGCGTCGGTGTTTCTCGCCCACACAGGAAAGTTTGTGTTTTTTACGTTCCTGACAGAAGCGTTGATGATGTGGCGTAATGTGTTTCTGGTAAAACGTTTCCGGCGGCAATAATTTCACCTTATAAGGTTTCCTCCTTCATTACACGGCAATCTTTCCTGTCTGCTTCACCCCCCCCCCAACCACGTCCTGTGTTTCTGCTCCGAGGACAAACTGCCACTGCTGATTGGTCAGAAGATAAACAGAGACCAGTTTATCATTTGATATTAACCGAGACATTTACACCTGGTTCCTTTGTCTGTAAGAATCTTTAAAAACTCCCTCACGTCCTACAAGAAAAAACAAACGTCCTCCACTCAAACCTCCTTCAGAAATCTTCCTCTGAGCTCCAGCTCCTGACATTCACCAGAAATGTGAATTTCAGATTCTGTCCTTGTGCATGGAGTCAGTGAAAACTCTTCAGTTCAGAGGCAGAAGTGAAGAAACACAAAAGGAGAAACGAAAGATGAAATTTTCTCTGCTCGTGTGACTCAACTTCCCTCCAGCACAGAAGAGACATCCTGCACAGCAACAACAGGCTGCAGGTTCCTCTTCAGCCGGTATCACAGCATCTGAGACACACACACACACACACACACACACACACAAACACACACACACACACACACACACACACACACACACACACACACACACCCAGGACAAAATGACAGCAGAAGAGTTGTGTGGTGAGAGGAGCTGATAAAGTTTCAGTCAGAGATTCAATTTGACCTCTGTGGTCCAACTCTGAGGTTCACTGAGTCTGGTGACCATGAACCGGTTTCATCCCTCCCTCCCTCCAGACATCTCCCCAGTGTTCCCAGTCCAGATGAAACATAGACTAGTCCTGGGGACATGGAAAGAAAGTTAACTACAATCCCATGATGCATTGCGCTCCTGATGATCATCTGACTCTCATATCCACCAGTTTGCAGGCTGCAGTCCTGGGTTCATTCCTATGAACTTCAGAGACTCGCTGCAGAGACACGGTCCATCACGGCTGTGTGGAGGAAGGGTTAGGGTCTGTGGTTGGTGTCAGTGTTGTCTGTAATGTTTTCATCTTTGTTGGGTCACAGCTCACAGGCTCTGTCTCTCCTGATGGTTTAATATGTTGGTGTGAAGATGGTCCATCAGATCAGCACAAACACTTTAATTTGAAATGCATCAGAAGGAACAAAGATCCACTTTAAACACGTGAATCAAGCTTTAATGAATCAACATGAACCTGCAGAACGAGCAGAGACATGATCAACATCAGCTGCCCTGTCTCTCTCTCTGTCTCTCTCTGTCTCTCTCTGTCTCTCTCTCTCTGTCTCTCTCTCTGTCTCTCTCTGTCTCTCTCTGTCTCTCTCTGTCTCTCTCTCTCTGTCTCTCTCTCTCTCTCTCTCTCTCTCTCTCTCTCTCTCTCTCTCTCTCTCTCTCTCTCTCTCTCTCTCATCTCTCTCTCTGTCTCTCTCTCTCTGTCTCTCTCTCTGTCTCTCTCTGTCACTATGTGTCAGTAGTGACTCTGGTTCTATATTTAACCTGCAGGCTATCTCTCTCTCTCTCTGTCTCTCTCTCTCTCTCTCTCTCTCTCTCTTTCTCACACACACCCGACATAAACGAGGCCGCTGAGGGACGACGAGCAGGATGGAGGTAAAACTCTTCTAAACTCTACAGTTTGTGTGTGTGTGTGTGTGTGTGTGTTGTTGTTGTTGTTGTTGTTGTTGTTGTTGTCGACTTCTTTCTGTGTGTTTTCTGTTTAACGTGGAAACACAGAGGAGTAAACAGTTTAGTGAAGCAGCTGTAGACGGTTCTTCACTCTCACCAGACTTTTAATTTGGCGTCCAAACACGTGTCTGGTTATTTTATTAATGAGATAAACTGATATGATCAATAAATAAATCAATAAACCTGCAGGTTGGATGTAACAGGGTGTGTGTCTCTCTGGAGACAGACGTCTGTCCGCCATGAGTCTGCTTCTCCTCAGGGTTTCTACCTGTTGAGGTTTGGACGTTGGTCTGTGTGAGAAACAGTATGAAGCAGCTCTGAGGAAACTGCTGCTGTGATTCTGCGCCGTATAAATAAAACTGACTCGACCAGATTTCATCAACATGGTCATCATGGTGTTTGAGGTGTGGAGCATGAGTTTGGTCAGGTCATTTATTCTGAGTATCTTCGTTAATCTTGTGTTTTGCTGCAGTGTGACGGTACAGATTTATCTAGTTTCATAAAGTGTTTTATAAATGTGAATATTTTAGAAGCTCACACTCACAGTTCAGTGTGTTGGCACCAGATTTATCAGAATATCTCGTTTCCCTCTTAAATTTCATGAGTGCATCTTAAAAGCCGGATGTCGGAGCTTTCCTACAGCACTTAAACACACCGCATGTTTCTCACTATGTCATCTCAAACATGTTGAGATAAAATGTAAATGGTTGCACACATGACACCTGATCCACAAACATGTCAGTGAACTTATTGTGACTGATAAATAAATAAATAAAAACACTTCCTCATCAGCGACACAAACAAACGTTTGTTTATGAAACCGTTTCCTCGTTTTTAAAGAAACTAAACTCGTCTGTGAAACATATTTTAAACAAGTGAAGTTAATGAGTTTAATTAATATGCAGAGCAACGTGCTGCAGGTGTGTGTTCACTGACTGGAGGTTACTGCAGGTCACATTCATTCAGCCTGATGTGCAGTGTTAAAACCACACAGCTCTGTAATGATGAACGTGACTGTTACAGATGCGTTTAAGGGACGTTACGACATGTTAGTAAATCCTGCCATTTCAGGTAACTGCACTTTTCTATATATGAGGCGTTTCTCACTCGTAGTTGTTTCACCACGAGTTCATCATTTATCACTTTAGTCAAAACATTTTCAGTTTGATGGATCTTGGTTTCAGTTCAAATTCAAAAACTACAACTCCCATGAGCCTCAGTCAGAGAGGAACTATCAAGGTGGTTTATAAGCATCACGGATGGATTACTGAACAGGTCCAGATTCAGACCCAGGACCCCTGGACCAGAACCTGACTGACTGTTAAATCACTCACTCACTCTGTTTACTGAGATTATTTCATATTTTCTAAGATGGCCATCGTCTCCCTCCTCCGATCATCACGGTTTAACACTTTCCAGCAGAACTCGACTCTGACTAATGAGTTTCATGTTTGAGGACCGAACAATATGATTAACAAAATAATCTAAACTCATTTACCACAACCACCTGTCAGCACCTGAATCCAGGTTTTGATCATGTGACGACACCTGAGCCAGATCCATTACCTGAATAAAGAGCATGAGAACAGGTACACCAGTTTCATCTTTGTTTACTCTGCATGAGATAATGAGATCCAGCAGAGGAGACAGGAAGGGAGGGGTATCATCATCATCATCATCATCATCATCATCATCATCATCATCATCAAAGTGATGTCAAAGGCTCATGGGAGATGTAGTTGCAAATTTAATATATGTACATATGAACTAAAAACAAAAACTAAAAATGATATAGAAAACCTCTATTGTAACAATTTTACATTGACATATATGTATATCTCATACAAATATGTATGTTCATATTTTAGACATATGTTTTATATATATCCGTCTGTCAGTATATGTTGATATTATATAAAGTAGAGTCCAAAAGTCTGAGACACTTTCACAGAATGTGAAGATAAACATGTTTAAAATTAATAAGAAATTAATAATAAAAACATATAGAATTTTTATATGTATGTACATAAATAAATTAAATATATATCTTCTTATATCTTCATATAGAGGATGTATATATGTGATAATAATACTTTATATGCGACATATATGGTAACATCACTCTTAATATAAGCACATGCATGTCACTTGTTACATTTCCATATGGGTGTTGATAATAATAAATCCTAAAGCTGGAAACTGTAGAGATCTGACATCTATGGAAACTTGTTGTACACAACATGTTGTAAAGTTTAACAGATTTCTGTGAAACCGTCTGAAAAGCAGCTCCTCTCAGCAACAACAGCGCACATGAACACATTCAGAAAGAGGAAGTGGTTTAACGGTTGTGTTTTTCATCACTTTCTGCCTTTAGTTCAGAGGTCGACTACACAAGACTCAATCTGTATGTATGTGTGTGTGTGTGTGTGTGTGTGTGTGTGTGTGTGTACTTCAGTCTTTGTGATCGGTCCTCACAACTTCCAAAGACCTGGTTTTAGGGTTCATGTGAGAATCAAGTTTAGATCAGGGTCAGGGGCCTGCGAATGTAGTGTATCAACAAGTGTCCTCACAAAGATAGAAGCACAAGAATGTGTGTGTGTGTGTGTGTGTGTGTGTGTGTGTGTGTGTGTGTGTGTGTGTGTGTGTGTGTGTGTGTGTGTGTCCTCTAGGCGATGTGATTTCATTATCTGTTGAATGTCAGCAATGTGAGACCTTCAGCTGAAATGGACATGGATCACCCCCACGTCAACAGCTGTGTGTGTGTGTGTGTGTGTGTGTGTGTGTGTGTGTGTGTGTGTGTGTGTGTGTGTGTGAACCTTTAATAGACTTGTGCTGGCCTCATGGGTTTGGACTGATGTGGCCCTGAAGGTTGGTACTACAGTTCTGGACTCATATTTTGTGTTTACATCTAACAGTTTTCATTGTTGGGAAGCCAGTGAGGGATCAGACGGATGGTAGCAGCAGTTGAGGTATTAGTAGTAGTAGTAGTAGTAGTAGTAGTAGGAGCAGTAATAGAACTACTATAAAACTACAACTACTGTAGAAGTACTTCATGGGTTTGGTCTGATGTAGTTCTGAAGGTCGGTACAACAGTTTGACTCATGTTTTCTGCTAGATGTACAAGTAATAGTAGTAGTAGTGGTGGTAGTGGTAGCAGTAGTAATAGTAACACTAACAGTTGCAATGGTAGCAGTAGTATTAGTAGTAACAGAAGCAGCATCAGTAACATCAGTAGCATTTGTAGTAGTAGTAGCAGCAGTACTAGTAGTAGTAGTTCTGCTGTAGCAGCACAAGCACAAGCAACAGTAGCAGTAGTAGTAGTAGTAGAAGTAGCAGTAGCAATAGTAGTGGTAGTAGTAGCAGTAGCAGTATAAGTACCAGTAACTACTAACTCTATTGTCACTAACCCTGACAGCCATACTGTGAGGACACAGTGGTAGTAGTAGTAGTAGCAATAGCAGTAGCAGTAGTAGTAGCAGTAGTAGAAGCAGTAATAGTAGTAGTAGTAGCAGTAGAAGCAGTAGTAGCAGTTTAAGTACCAGTAACTACTAACTCTATTGTCACTAACCCTGACAGCCACACTGGGAGGACACAGTGGTAGTAGCTGTAGTAGCAGTAACATTAATGGTAGTAAGTAAAGTAAGTAAGCAGAGATTTATCATTATAACAATTTTCCAAACAAAAGTTACAGACTGTTTCACAATAAAAGCATTTAGAACAAAATGTCCGACAGTGATAAAACAGTAGCAGTAGTGACAGTGTTGGTGGAGGAGGTAGTTTCATCAGTGCAGTGTTCAAACCCTCCATGATGGTGAAACAGTGAGAACTGACGGAGCAGCAGACTCACACTGAGCCTTTGTTCGCAGACAGAACTTTTTATTTCCTCTCCATGTTGTTGGATTAAACAGGTCACAAACATGTGAAGCATGTTGTCTCTAATGAGCAGCTGCCTGCCTGATGACAACACTCACATTTCCTTCCTAACATGGTCACAGCGCTGCCACAGACAGGAAGTAACCTGGGAGGTACCAACTGTAGTACAGCAGGAGGCCAGAACAGTTAAAGCCATGACCCCCCCTCTGGACTGAGGATCTTGAATTCAGGACTAAATCATCGACATATAAATAAATAAATAAATAAATAAATAATAAATAAATAAATACAGCAATGAAACAAACCCTGAAGTAAATAAATTAGGTAATAAGACATATATAAATTAATGTAAATATAAATATAAGTGAGTCAATAAATAAATAAATAGCTTTATGAATAAATTAATTAATTAATTAACTAGTTTGAAACTGTAAGATAACCACTCCCCCTCATTTGATTGTAACAGATGGAAATAAAAAGAGCTGGGAAATAAATGTGGAATTAGGAAATAAAAGTGTCCAGAAATAAATCAAAAGGTAATTTTTAAAATAAAAGGCGATTCATTTATTCATTTATCTACTTTTTCATTTATTATTATCGTGGGAGTCGAACATGTGACGTGGACTTTGTCTCTCTTTATACTATGTCACTGCACTTTTTCCTTTGCTCCTGTCATAATTACAGCGACAATTCGATGTTGCCTAGCAACAAACCTAACTATGGGTCATAGTAATGTACTGCAGAAACAACGTATGGACTCGTTTTTTTACAGGACAACCCAGCCTTGTTGCATTTACCTTGGTATCCTCTACTTCCCTCCCTCCCTCCTTCAGGAGGAGGCCCCATCCCGGCACTCTGTGGCTGAACTCGCAGGAAGATTCAAGGGCTCTGCTCCTCCACACGATGCAGCTGGAAATGAAACAGTGAGTTCAGTGACTGAATATCAGACAAACACATACTCACCAGACGGTGTATACAGGGGTGTAGGTTTGCATATGGATGGTACGGACACGTTCCTACCAATATCTGAGTGAAGCTCATTCCAATGTGCTCTCCAAGAGGCTTACGTCTCCATGACAACTGATTTAGGCATGCTAGTATTTGATTTGGTGAAAGAGCAGGGGCTATCTGAAGGTCCAAGTGGTACCTAACATCAGAGCAAGCTAGCAAGCTAACCTTGTCTTCTCTCTTCTGTAGACTAGTAGTCAGGTTGCTAGCAGGAGTAAATATGAAATGGTGGATATGTCTAAGTATGAGATTAATTTCTGTTGAAAAATTCCATGAAAATATTACCATGACTATTACAAAGTTTTTATGCCTGAATATATTATGACGTTCTGAGGGGGCAGCACGGTGGATTAGTGGTTGGAGCTGCTGTCTTTTTATGTCTTACTATACTATGACGTTTTATGACTTTTTATGCGTTACTATACTATGACGATTTTATGGTTTTTTTATACCTTACTTTAACGTTTTTATGACTTTTTATGTCTTACTATACTATGACGATTTCATGACTTTTTATGCCTTACTATACTATGACGATTTTATGACTTTCTATGCGTTACTATACTATGATGATTTTATGATTTTTTTATGCTTCACTATACTATGATGTTTTTATGACTTTTTATGTCTTACTGTACTATGACGTTTTTATGACTTTTTATGCGTTACTATACTATGATGATTTTATGATTTTTTTATACCTTACTTTAATGTTTTTATGACTTTTTATGCCTTACTATACTATGACATTTTATGATTTTTTGTGCCTTACTATACTATGATGTTTTTATGACTTTTTATGCCTTACTATACTATGATGTTTTTATTACATTTTATGCCTTACTATACTATGATGATTTTAAGATTTTTTATACCTTACTTTAACGTTTTTATGACTTTTTATGCCTTACTATACTGTGACGTTTTTATGACTTTTTATGCCTTACTATACTATGATGTTTTTATTACATTTTATGCCTTACTATACTATGATGATTTTAAGATTTTTTATACCTTACTTTAACGTTTTTATGACTTTTTATGCCTTACTATACTGTGACGTTTTTATGACTTTTTATGCCTTACTATACTATGACGATTTCATGACTTTTTATGC